TCTTGCCTGGAAAATCCCATGAATGGAGGAGCCTGGTAGGCTGCGGTCCATGAGGTCACTAAGAGTCGGACACGACTAAGCAACTTCACTTTCATTTTTTTCACTTTCATGCATTGGAGAAGGAAATGGCAGTCCCACTCCAGTGTTCCTGCTTGGAGAATCCCAGGGATGGGGGAGCCTGGTGGGCTGCCATCTATGGGGTCGCACAGAGTCGGACTGAAGTGACTTAGCAGCGGCAGCAGCAGCTATAATTAAGGCATGTCCCTCACGTATATTCAAATATTTCTTTATACCCCTCAGTGTGTTTTTAGTTGGCTTTATGAAGACATTTCTGGTGCTTTGCTATTAATACTTGCTACCTAAGTTTCAAGATAATTTATATCCTCATTGGGATGATGGTTTTTAATGTTATGAAGTGATACTCTTTTTTTCTATTCACATAGCTTTTTCTGATGTTGATAGTAGGTGTACTTTATTATATCTTTGCCTTTACTTTGTGTGTGTGTGTGCGTGCTGGGTCTTCATTTCAGCACCCTCTTCATTGGGACATCTGTGGGCTCTCTCTAGCCTTGTAGCAGAAGGGCTCTGGCGTGGGCTCAGTAGCTGTGCCACGTGGGCTAAGTTGTCCCAAAGCATGTGGGATCTCAGTTCCCTGATCAGGGACAGAACCTGTGTCCCCTGCATTGGAAGGTAAATTCTTAACCACTGGACCACCAGGGAAGTCCCTGTCTTTACTTTTAGTTTTTCTGAATCACTTCATTTTAGGCAATATTTACAACTGGCTTACGGTTGGAATGTTTTGATCCAATTGAAGCTATTATTTTATGTATTTATTTCATTTGTATTAATTTTTAAAGAATAAATTTTATTTTAATAATACTTGTGTATATTTATTACAGTCGTTTTGTTGATATTTCATTTGACTCTGATATCTGACACTTTCACTTTTCATTATTTCCTTTGTTTTCTATCATTTGTTGTCTCATCTGTTTTTTGCCTGTTTTCCTAAAATAGATACTCTAATTTTACCAGCAGTTGCTAATAAAATTTCTCATAATACACTTATGCCCATATTTTTTAACTAATCAGCTTGAGAAATAAAGCAGTATATATTAAATTTCTGTTTTGTTAGAAACCTTTTTGGTGAGTGATTGTAGTCTAACTCAATTTGACCTATAGAAAAATGAGAATTTGCTAGAAAGCTATTATGGTATTCAGTTGAATCCAGGAAAGATTTCATTACTCTTGCCTTATGAAGGCAAGGAATGTATCCAGCCTTCAAGAGCTACAAAAACTAAGGATTGCAAATCCATTGACTATGCCATTTTTTTTATTTCTTTCTGTAGATCAGTTTAATTTCTTTCCTATCACATGGCAGGAAAACAGCTTTTACATCTTACTTCTTACGTTTTAACCATCTAAGAGATACTGATTTCTCTTGGGTTCCCTACCACAAAATCCTTTGCAAAGGACCACAGGATTGGTTTGATCAGATGTCTTCTAGACGAGTCAATGAGGTTACATTGGATGTGGTGAAAGTTCCTGCTATAATCACATGGGTAGGTAGTCAGGGAAAGGAATTTGGTTTTCAGAATAGTAGAGGATTTGACAGCCAGAAGAGCATGTCCTATACTCTCACCCTTTGAAAGATAAGCAACCTATCCCTTCTTTTGTTCCCAACACCCAGTAGCTACTTAATTTTGGTAATTTCTAGCTTGATTTTTTTCTTCCTTATGTGTAAATCAGATACTACTTGCACTAAAATTAGACACTTCTGTAGCTCTGCAGTTTTTCGTGTTTTTTTTTTTCTTGTGATTTTCATGCATTACTAGGGTTCTTTTTCTTAATATTTCTAGTTGTTTTAAGACTAGGCAATATATACATTCCAAATGAACCAATAGGACTGTCTACTGATATCAGAGAACAGGGAGCCAGACTTGGTAGGGAGGGAAGTGGAGACCAAAAGGGTGAAGCTTGTCAAAAAAGGCATAAACCTCTAGTTGTGAAATAAACAAACCCTGGAGATGTAATGTACCACATTATGACCATAGTTCATTATACCGTACTGTATATTTGAAAATTGCTGAAAATAGATCATATACATTGTAAAGATGGATATATCCAACCAGTCAATCCTAAAGGAAATCAGTCCTGAATATTCATTGGAAGGACTGATGCTGAAGCTGAAACTCCAATACTTTGGCCACCTGATGCAAAGAACCGACTCATAGAAAAGACCCTGATGCTGGGAAATATTGAAGGTGGGAAGAGAAGGGGACAACAGAGGATGAGGTGGTTGGATGGCATCATGAGTTTGAGTAGGCTCTGGGAGTTGGTGATGGACAGGGAAGCCTGGCGAACTGCAGTCCATGGGGTTGCAAAGAGTCAGACATGACCGAGTGACTGAACTGAACTGAACTGAGAGTAGATCCTCAAAGTTCTCATCACAAGTAACTAAGTGTGGCTGCAGGTGTTAATTGAGTGGACTATGGTGATCGTTTTGCAGTATATACATATATCAAATCCTTATGTTGTACACTTAAAACTAATATAACGTTAAAAGTAAATTAAATCTCAAAAAGTTTATTCTCTTAAAAAGTTAATTAAACAATTCTGGAATTGTTTATCTAGTGAGATAAGAATCTAAATTCATGTTTTTAACAAACAACTTATTTTTCATCTATATTAATTCACTGAAAACTCTGCTTTTTTCTTTGTGATGTTACCCTTTTTCTGTTATATATTATTAGATAAAACAAGGTTTGTGTCTCTGAAATAGTTTATAAAGAATGATTTTTTTTCCCCATTTTTTAGAGAATGATCTTGATTAAGTTAAAATACCAAATAAATAGGAAATAGTCACAGGCTATTCAATAAATAAACTCTGAATCAAAATTGACATTAGCTTAATTTTATTTCATAATCAACTAAATATTTCAAATAAAATAATTACAATTAAGAAAAGTCTTCCAGTTTTTGTTTTAATTTCACGTTTTATACATTGCACAATATTTATAAGATACTCATTTTGGTCATAACTTGGTGAGGGAGGAGGTAATAATTCTTTCAGATGGTTAAATACAACAGAGGATTTTTGCTCTCGTTTTATTTGAGAGAGATGAAGCAGCTTTTATTTTCAACATAAATTCTACACAAAAACCATATACTTTGCTTACCTCACATATTAGACATTAAAAATGGCATACAAGCAAAGATAGAGTTGAATGGCATCACTGACTCAATGGACATGATTTCCAGCAAACTCCAGGAGATGGTGAAGGACAGGGAGGCCTGGTGTGCTGTAGTCCATGGGGTCCCACAGACTTGGACACGACTTAGCGACTGGACAGCAACAAGCAAAGATCTCTTGAAATTTTATGTGGCTATAACTAAGTTTGTATTAAAAAAACCTACAACAAATTTGCTATCTTTTGAGCTGTTTTTCTCTTTCCTTCCTTCCTTCCTCTGTCCCTCCCTTCCCCCTCCTTCCTCCTTTCAGATATATTGCATTAGAAAGTATCTATTTATAGACATTTACTATAGACATCATTAAGCATAACTGTCTTTGAGGAATAGTGGAAAATGTAAGCTAAAAAAAATAAAGAAAATGCTATACAAAATGTTTTATTGCGTAAATATCTATTACAGCATTGAATCATATTCAGACACCATTAGCTGGGACTGCTGCATTGCAGAAACTATCATGAGAGCACATTTTTCTTCATGGAAAATCCCAGAGTTCAGAGAAGAAACAGCAACATAAGCTAAATATTCACTATATCAGAAACAAACCCCAGGTCTTTTGAGTAATAATTCTGGGAACTCATGTCCTTAAATGAAAAAGACCAGCCAGGCATCTCGGGCCACTGAAGCTCTGTCCCTTTAAAAGGGTGGCTTCTTGTGGAGATAGACTCCTTAAATAACTGTCTGCACCAAGGACCATTTGGCATAATTTCACCTTTGTACAAAGACTCTTCACAGAAGCTGAGGTTGAAATCCATAGAGAAGTAAATAAAAGATGATGACTGATGGGCCCATCCAGGAAGGAAGATTCTTCATGGTTATAACATCTAATTTGGATAACAGACTTTCTCTCTACTAGCCCTCCTTTATTTGTCTGTGAAGTTACAGAAAATCCTTAGGTAACAAGCTTTCCCCATTACTAGATTTAAATGTAAGAAATACAGTTTATCCTTTAAGAAAAATGTAAACTCGGTATTAAAGTTTGTTTTTAGATCAAATGAATTGGATTTGCTATTGTTTTTCTAACAATATAATGAAAACAGTAAAGAAAGGTCAAATCATCAAGTGAGTAAATCCAAGGATTTTGCCTCAATGAAGTGGATAACTATTCTCGGGAAAATCACAAAAGGAGTCGGGGGAAAAATAAGTGTCAGAATTGCAGTATTCTGTAACACTCACTGAGTTCAGCTTCCTATGCTTGATTTCCTCACTTGTCACAAATGAGTGAAATCAAGGAACTTTAGAATCTCCTATGTTCCATCATTTCATGTCCATAAAATCACTAAAAATCCAAGATTGTCAAATGATTCACTTGTCTTTCTAAAGAAAGTTAAATTAAAATCCCTTAAGACAGGAATTTTTTTAAGTTACACAGTAATTTTTCCCCCTTTATAGTCAATATTGGACATTGAGTGAAGATTGTGAACCACAAAAATCCAAAGTTTTTGTTTTAGTCTAAAAGATATATATACTGTATCCAGCTGATTCTTAGGTAAGAATCACTATCTTTAAAAATTCCCATGTTGAATACAAAATACATAAATATATAACTATTTGGAAAAATATTATTTTTGTGTATGAGACAAAAAAAAAAGGAAATCTGTTTTACATTGTGATGTCCAACTTGTGTGTGCACATTTCAGCTTGGAAACTCATTAGGCATTTGGGCCATGTCCTCAAAATTCTGTTTTGCCTATTTGTAATTTCCCTTCAATAAAAAACAAGAAAAGAAAGAAACAAAAACAGAAGCACCCTACTCAGGAATCCGAGAAAGCCTTTATGATGGACTCGTAGGCAGGTGGGGGTGGTGTTGAAACGCCAATCCGAAGATTGTTGTTGGACCAGTGGAAATCCGGACGGCCCAGGCTGTGGGAAGTGTTGATGGTGGAGGAGGTGGTGGATGAAGGGAAAGTCACCAGCTGACTCTCAGTTTCCACAGGAAGTGGTGGGCATTGCAGAAAGGGGTGGAAAGTTGAGCCCCTGAAGCTTGATTTTCTTGGAAAGGAATTGGCTTGTTCCAGGGAAGCTTGTCGCTGGAAAGTGAGGCTCGCCAGGCTGAGGTTGCTTCGACGTTCACAGCCACTGTGGCGGTAAAATCCATTTCTGTTGAGGCCATGGGTATATGAAGATCTGGGTCGCCGGCTTGAACTCCACTGCGAGATGGGGGCGCTGGCCCTTCTTCGAGACAAACAGACAGACAAAGCCCAAATAAATCCTCCGATTACAAGTACCGTTGCCACGGATACCGTGAAGGACATTATCACATCCTCTGAAACAAAGAAAACAAATAGGCAATATGATTTATAGATAGGTGTTCAACTAAATATACAGGCAAAATGCAAATGAGGACTATGGAATATCTGATTAACTTAGATTTTGAATTTGGGAGATAGAAGATGGTGTTGGGTGAGTATAAATAAATGAAGCTGTTAGGCTTCCATTTATCAAAGAAAAACAATAAAGGATGTAAAATGACATCTTTTTACCTGTAACATTCCACATTGTTTACAATATTTTCTTATCTTTAAGAAATTAATAATTTAAAAGTCTCATGTTTTGAAAGAAGGCTCTTCTTTATTTAGCTCATAAATTTTTATAGTTGCAAATATAATCCAAAGATTACTTCCTTTTGAATTACAGTAGTAACCAATGTGCCAAAAATCGATAAAGAATTTCATAGTCACATCGGCTTTGCCTTTTCTTCTGTCCGCTTTCCAATCTCCACCAGTGTCTCCCACCCTGCAGGTGGCATGATGCCTCATTTCCTGTTCTTATTCTGAGACAGGAAGTGCTGCGCTGGAGCCATCTGGCTGACTGATTTATGTCATATTTCCAGAACTCCAGGACCGTCACCTTTATCTTTGACTCGTTGATGACATGAGCTGTACAGACTGCTGAGCTCTTTCTTGGTCCCCAAGGCTGCTTCATGCTATTATCATGCCCTTGTGATCATGAAATTCCTGTCCCCAAACCTCCATAGAATTTCTGCTATACACCAGTATCCTCCAATTCACAGAATTTGTCCAGATTTCCTGTTGTAAGGAGGGAAAAATGCCTTTCCCAAATACCTTCTTGCTTCTTTTTGTGAACTAAAATATAGTCTCGAATGAAACTGGTTAGCAGAGCCCTGCATTGACTGGAAAGACATGCTGGATATTAGAAGGTCCCTCCACCCTTATCACCCACCACACACACCCCCCCCACTCTTTACCCCATGATCTAACCCATAAACCATATTGATTTTCACACTATCCCGAAATCTGTTGTTCTCACTCAAATTCCACACATTTCAGTATATTTTCCCCCTATACCTGGATATAATTTTAGAATTTTCTATTTGGAAAACTCAGTATGCACTGAATTTTAAATACAGTCAACCCACCAACTGAGTATGGTTCATGAAAAAAGACCAGCAGAAAATCCATCAAGCTGATCCCAGCCCAAGTTGCCCACCCACAGAATTGTGAGCTAAGTAAATGGGGTGGATTGTTACACTGCAAAAGTTAACTGATTCAGGGTTCCAAACTCAGCTCTATTCCTAATGTGATTTTTATAAAAATGTATTTAGACTCACTTATTTTATTACTTTCTTCAAATGAAGGAGTTAGATTTTATGATAACAAAATTTCTCTCCAGTTTGTTAATATAGTCTATGACAGTATGCCCCAAACCTATAATATAGAAATAACAAAACAAACCAGTATTAATAGATAAAAAAGATATTCATTGTTTCTTAATTTTTGGATCTATTTTAGCATCCTTCTACCTTATATTGTCATGTTTTTCTCCTGTGGAAAGACCATATTTGTTATGTTGATTGTTTACAGTTATCACAAATGCTTGTATCAAATCTCTAAAACAACTCTTTATGTCAAATCTAAGCAGTGCATTCTTTATAACAGGAAGATGACTTCTGAAATACAAGATGATTTATGACAGTTCTTCTAGACCTAGGATTGTTCTTCAAAATTGTCTCTCATCTAATATTGAGTCATGGCCTTAAAGTGAAATCTCTTGAGACTGGAGTTTCATAGAGTTAGGCTTTATCTGGAAAAAGCAATAAGCACATTCAGAACCTAAAATTAGCCTTATTGATAATACAGTAAAATTCCAAATTAACTTGTAACTATAAGTGCCCCCAAATATTTAGAACTTAAAAAGGGAATTATAGAAAATCTGGGCTGCCAACGCAATGAGACCATGTAAATCAGGATTTTCCAAATTTTCTTCTGAAAAACAATAGAGAACAACAAGATGACCAAATAAAAATATACAAAACCATGCTTTCAGCATAATTAGAAGACAACAAATATCCAAGCGTCAATTTATCTAAAAAGTAAATGATGGAAAACAGAAATCAAGAAATTATCTCCCATACTTCCACCACGTTGTCATGGAGAAGAAGGGCAATTCTGGAGATACTATAAAAATAAAATGAAAAGGTATTTTGGTACATGAGCATGCTGACCAGGAAAGGGACTTGTAAGTGAACATAGGAATGGGAAGTGGCAGTCTTGGAAAGTATCCTTCCTGTGAGGAAGAATCCTATCACAGAAGGATCACTCATTTTATGATTCTACTCCCATGAAATGTCCAGAAGACACAAACTACATAGAGAGCAGATTGGTGATGGTCTAGGGCAAAGGGGCGAAGTAGAAGGGAATCGGGGGAACCTCTAGTGGGGTTTGAAGGACAGAAGTGAAAGTCGATCAGTTGTGTCTGACTCTTTGCAACCCCACATAATCCATGGAATTCTCTAGGCCAGAATTCTGGAGTGGGTAGCCTTTCCCTTCTCCAGGGGATCTTCCCAACCCAGGGATCGAACCCAGGTCTCCCACGTTGCAGTCGGATTCTTTACCAGTTGAGCCACAAGGGAAGCCCAAGAATACTGGAGTGGGTAGCCTATCCCTTCTCCATCAGGGAAGCCCCTCTTTGAAGGACAAAATGTTCGTAAATCAGATGCTGGTGGTGGTCACACAACTCCTATAACAAAACCATTTAATTGTGTGCTTTACGTGGGGGAACTATATGGTCTGTGAAATATATCTCAATAATAAGTTGTCTAAAAAAAGAAAGAAAAAGACAGGTGCTTTTTGGAAATCACACAATGAAGCAGGAAAGAGGCAAGACTGAGGGGAAACTTGAGGATCCTTCAAAACAAAAGAAAACTTAAAGGACATGCAATTCCTCCCAACTCCACTCTCTAAAAATTAAAATCAACCAGTAAAAAGCAACCAAACACACATGCAGACAGACACACACATACACACTAACACACACACATACCACACAGTCAGCCCGTAAAAACACCATGTTTTGCTACCCTGAGAAAAGGATGAACCTGGAATGACTCCCAGGTTCTGGTGTGGGCAAGTGAGGGTGGATAGGTGCTTACTAGTATCGTTTGTCCAAACAGGGAAGTAACATGAGACTGTATAATTAGGGCTGAGCCTCATATTAGCCTCATGTTGAATTTGCATGTTCCTGGGGTGTATACTAGGAATTCAGGGTTAAATAAATACAGAGTTTAAAGAGATGCAAAATTCGGAATCTTCATTGCTGCTAGAGAGTTCAACTATCCAAGGAACGCACTTCTACTAAAAGAAAGGAATGTGTTTATAGGAGTGAGTTGAGAATAAACTTCCAGGAAAACCAGAATTTAACAGGTGGTGGAGGTCAACCCCAGGGAAATACAGAAGGGCTAATTAGGGTGGTCCACAGAGACAAGGAAGATTACTAGCCCTGAATCAAAGTGAGAAGAGGATTTTAGAGAGAAGTGATTAGCAACCAGGCGCCCCAGAGAAATTTATCAATTCATTTGTTAGTGTATAAAGCACCCACTAGATACCAAGTACTGCTAAGTACAGAGACAGCAGGGAAGAAAATAATCTGTAGAGAAGTTAACATTCTAGAAGACTTAAAGTAAGAAAAATGCCCTTTAGATGTGGCAGTGAGTGGATAAGTGGCCACTTTATGCACAGTAGATTGCGGGTCAGATGATGGAAGGCCCTGAATACTTCCGCAAGAAGTTCAACCTCTTCCCTGTGGGCAAAGAAGAGGCTTGAGCAGTTACCCATAGGAAAGATAAAGATGGAGCTGGTGTTGATATCTGCGGTAGACTGAAAACAGAGAAGCAGGGAAGAGAGAGAAACAGTGATTGAAGCATGCAATAATAATGGCTTAATCTGGGAAGTTGTAGTAAGAATAGGAAAGAATCCAATCATGGGAGTCCCACAGTGAAAAGAAAGTAAAAATTATTCCATAGTGTCACATCATCTAATGTCCTAGAGATAAGACATTGAGGAGCATAACGGTGATAAACTGAGGCTTAGAAGCTCTCGTTCCTAAAACCTAAATAATAATGTTATTTTATAGTAGTAATTTGATAATCAGATCAAATTTTAATGTTTTAGAAATTCTAGCATCTGCTTACTTTATATTTGCTTGCCTTTGCCATTTTATGCAACAGTAGCTTATCAGAGAATAGATTTACTAGATAAAATTTTAATTCATATTATAATCATTACATTTTTCCTTGAAGTTTTGTGCTGTTTATAACAGCTATCTAAATTCTGGATTTCACTGAAAAATGTTTTAATTGCCCTTATAAGAGAACTATGTAAAAATCATAAACTACTCAAATACTTCATAAAACCCAGTCTTTTGTCTTCTTCCAAAGAAGTATGTGAATCCAGAAATTTTACTAAATTTGGTTCTTCTGTTAAGGAAAATACCTAATTTTACTATATTTCAGTTAGGTTTAGCAATCTCTGTTTTTTGTGAGGTGTATTGCACATAATTTGAATAATTTATCATGCATTATTAAGTGGTCAGTTGTCTCTGGAAGAGTTTATGCATTAAGTAGTTTATGCTCCAGAGGATCCGTAAGTTGATTACCATGATAAACACTTTAATCAAAGAATATGAATAAAGTCACTCAGAAATTCTGTCTTCCTATTTAGAATAGATGAATGAGAGATATATTATGATTCATTTTCATGTTATTGTGTCTTTGAATAGAAAACTAATGCATTAAGTTGAGACTTAGTTGGTAAACTTTAAGCTCATTCTAAATTTGAACTCCTATCATTCTAAGCTAGAAAGGTTTCACTAAAACTAAGATTAAGAAAATTTTGATGTTGGAATGAATACAGCTTACAAAATGCAACCCTATTTTTATTTCATTATTTTGGTAAATAGTAATATGCATTTTTAATTTGATTAATTTAATATAGGGTCTCAGGAACTATTTTAAGTATATTACATCCC